CAAATCGAAAGGAGACTGCGACCATACCAGAGGCCACAAAATCTTGGTCTTCATATCTTCAGGCATCTGCTAGTTAACATTTAAAAAATAGTCTGTTTGTCGATTAGGCATGAATGTTTGTCATTGCCATGGACGACATTACTTATTTCCTGTATAAGTAGTCTTCGAGGTGATCCACAGTTCTCGAATAAGGGCATAGTCAGTCTGGTTTGCTTAAGATAATGAGACCTAGGCGAGGCTGAAACTGCAGTTCAGGGTTCAATGGATAGCCTTTCGGGAGGCAAAGCCAAGGAAATAGTATTTTTGGGCTTGCTCATGCGATTGCGGGAAAAATCAGCAATCCGTCCTTAAATCAGCGTAAGTCGCCAAGGCTAACTAAGCCTTTACTCAAGAATTAGGGATTTTCTCGAGCACACCTCTTATTGAAAACGTAAGTATTATGTTGCAAGAATGTTAAAACAATGATGTAAGAATAACGCACACTTTCGCCGGAATCGAAAGAAATCGCATTAGGGACGATTTCATTCATAAGAAGTCATGAAGACCAAGATCCTTTCAATTTATATAATAGGGTCGACCTTGTTGTTACAACTTGGTCTTGTTGTCAGGGCGACTTAGTAGAATGTACCTAGTCAGAAGTCGTCTGGCATAGTAGTTGTCATGATTCCAAGCATCGGACAGTGGACTTGGTACATTCTCAAATGTTTCGCGGCATCGTAGTCGGTATCATCAGTCAGTTTTGCCATTCGCCGGACCAAGTTACGAACTCTTCAAAGAGACACGGGTTTGACTTCACTTGTCTCTTTGACGAGTTCATAGCTTGGTGCCGCGAATGGCAAAACTGACTGATGATGCCGACTACGATGCCGGCGAAACGTTTGAGAATGTACCAAGTTCACTGTCTGATGCTGGGAATCATGACAACTACTATGGCAAACGACTTCGGACTAGGTGCGTTCTACATCATTGCCTTGACAACAAGACCAAGTTGCGATAACCCGGTCAACCCACTTCACATTCACACTGTTTGCTTTAGAACCAGCCGGATGGGTCGTGGTCTTCGGGTGCGATTGGCCTTTTCAGCTCTTCATCGCGCACGCCTCACCTCGAAACAGAAATGAGCCCAAGTCCATCTACAAGCAGAAACGTGACGATTGCAATAGACCTCTTTCCAGTACCAGCCCCAGCGGAAGGCTTACCATCTTCAGCCCCTCCAGCAGGTCTCCCGCAACCTGTACCGCGGCCAAAAGTGTGTTGGTCAGACGAACTCTTCCGGTCAATCGGTGAAGGATCGAGGCCGTCAGCGCATGATCCCGTCGAGTGAATGCGGCCCGAGTCTGTCCGGCCAATCGTGTACCGCCGGTGGGAACACTTCTGCCACCAGCAACGAAGTTGGCTCGACCTCCGCTTCGCGCCCGAAGTGGTCTTGGTCTCGAGGCGAAGAGCCAAACGGGGCAGGTCGCCGCGGCAGCGGTGCCGGCTTGTCTGCGACCGTCCGCAAATGCCCTCCTGTGCATGTTTGGCGCGGCTTTTGCCTCAGTTTGAAGCAAGACTGGGAACCCGAGGCCGGCCGGGAAGGTACCGGTCGAGGCGGATTTTGTCGCTCCGTCGGGACGTTGCTTCCTCGAATTGGACGGCAGCTGATGCTCTTCCAGCTTGGCCTCTTCGTCGACTGTCCGGTCATGCTCCAGACTGTCTTCTGGTTCGAAGAGCTGGCGTAGCTGATGCCGACAAACTTCGGCACAACTGATGGTTGCCACGTTCCCAAATAGGCACGAGGAAATGAGGAGAAGTACAAACAACACTTGAGTAGGGCTGAAATGACAATCTGAAGCATGCAAACACCTCGAGACATTAGGCATTTCTGGAATAAGTATTTTTTTACAAGAAACTGGACAGTTGGCGCAAGAGGCTAAGACATTTCCTACAGCCTCTCATCTGAAAGTGCCAAATCGCCTGGGCATGGCCTCATCAAGGGCGCCAATGGAAGAAATCAAGCATAAATTCCTGCTCAACTCATTCGAAAAACCTAGAAAAACTGTAAATTATGATTCATTAAATACTTAAATTTCGTAAGATAGTGAATGAAGAAGAGATTCTATGGTCGATCTCATCGGAATAGGACGACTCATTCCCGTTGTACTGCAGCCGTTCATTCATTCGATGGACATCATCAGAACTGGAACTCATTAGTTTCATTTACGATTTAACAAAAACGATATCAAAAGACTGTCCGGCTCTATCTTACGTTTTATACATACTCATAAATAAAAGTGAAAATGCATAGGCGCGATTTACCTAATTGCCGTTCATATTGGCCATATTAATTTTACTCGAGTGTGTGTTTGTGCGTTTTAAAGTCTATACACAACACCGGTCCCTAATCAGAGTATAACGGAGATCATCATTCGACATTCAAATCTCCTCATCACCCAATTTCATTAAAAGTGAAAGTCTCCCAAATAATATTGTCTTAAGAGATTTATCGAAACCCAGTTATTCTTCGTATCTTCCGTAGGATATTACTTTCAATATAAGTAGTTTTCGACAAAATCAGTACTTCTTGATTAAG